TACGAACAAATGACTCCATGTGGAATTGTAAATATGGAAGATGTTCAACTGTTCCATGCCATTAATGAACATAAGTAATAAATTTAAATAATTACATATCAGGTATTATCAATTAAAATTTAAAGTAGGGCTGGGGTATAATATGCTCAGGGGTAGTGCACATGACCAGTATACCCAAAGTTCTGGGTTAAATCTCGTGTGTGTGTGTGTGTGTGTGTGTGTGTGTGTGTGTGTGTGTGTGTGTCTGTCTGTCTTAGTAGTAGTAGTAGTAGTAGCAGCAGTGGTGTTTAAATTTTTATTCATTTATTTAATGGGCATGGGTGTTTTGCCTGCATTAACCATGGAGAGAAGAATGTGAGCACCATTGCATGGACTAGAGTTGGAGCTTTAGTAAAAAGGAATGAAGGAGAAGACAGGAGAATTGGCATTTGTCTCTGCTTCTTCACCATGGATGAAATGTGAGCCACTCCCTCATGCTTCTGCTACCAGGCCCTCCCCACCAAGGTCGACTATATGCCCAAACTTTGACCCAAAATAGACCCTCCTCCATCTTAACTTGGTTTTGATCAGGTATTTCGTCATGACAATGAGAAAAATAATGAATACGCCAATTCTCAAAGACAAGAGATACCCCTTCCCCCTCTCTTTTCCATTTTGAAGGAGCTGTAATAAGTTGGTATTTCAAGCCCACATGCACCTGATCCTGCACTCCTTCTTAGGAAAAAACTTTGCTTCCTGACAGCAGAATTTGGAAGGGTAAATAGGGCATGCATAAGCCATCTGTTTCTTCTCTTTTTCTTGAATCAAATTCTCCTTCCAGAGCCCATATTCTACTCTGTGCCTGCCAATATCTTAAGAATCCCTTGCTTGGGTTCAGTTCTAGAAGTCAGTGTAAGAATCACATTTTCCTAAATATATGAACATATTCCCTAATATCAGATTTGTCATTAAAAAGTGACCCCCATTTGCCTTCTCTGTTTCATATCTTCATTGCTTTGGATACAAAGAGAGATGTCTGGTCCCATTAAAATCTAACCCTTTATTATGATGTACTTAAAGCTTTAAAGGTGTTCAAAATATCCATTTACAGAAACTACAATTAGACAAAGACCTATGCACTAATATCTTCATTATATTTTTATTATTAATAAAATAATGGTTAATATACCTTTGTTACATCCACTAAGGGGGCAGAAGTCAAGATGTGAAAGAATATATACATACTTCAATCATTAAAATGATATTTTATGGTAACTACCATAAGCCAGGCACTTTGCTATGTGAAATGAGACACAAAGGAACAAAAAAAGGTTGAAAGAAAATATTTCAAAAATCTTAACAACGCTTTTTTTTTTTTTTTTTTTTTTTTTAGGTAGGGAGAGTGAGTCTGATATCCTCTTATGCCTCTTTGTATCTTAAAATAAGCACATGTTATTTAAAGACTTTTTAAGAAGTGTATGTATGTATCAATATAGAATACAGAGAGAACTTCTAAAATACAACAATACAAGTTCAAACAACCAATTCGAAAATGGGCAAAAGACTTGCACAGACATTTCTACGAGGAAGAGGTACAAGTGAGAGCAAAGTGCAAGAAAGGAAGCTTAGCATGGCTAGTTACTAGGGTAAATGCGAGTCAGTGCTATAACAGGATACAAGCCCAGAGCATTTGGATGGCTGCAATCAAATGAAACAGGAAATGCTATGTGTTGGTGAAGATGAAGAGAATTGCAACCCTCATGCACTGTTGGTAGGAATATAACAGTGTAACCGCTATGAAAAACAGCATGGCCTGGCCTGCCCTGCCCCCCCCAATAAAAATAGAATCACTGCATTAGCTAGCAATTTGACATTTGGATACATATCCTAAGGAATTGGAAGTAAGACCATAAGCAGATACCAACAAACTCATACTCATAGAGGTTTTTTATTCATAATGGCTAAAACATGGTAGCTAGACCAATGCCAACCTGTGGGTGAATGGGCTAGTAATATGTGTTCTGAATATGTATATATACATAAATGTGGAATATTATTTAGCATTGAAAGAAGGGGATTCTGATGTATACTTATATATATATATATAAACATATATATATGTTATATGAATTTTATAATATGGGGGAACTTTACAGACATTACACTATTTAAAATTAGCCAAACAAACTTCTCTTCAAATGTTCTGCTTTTGGGAGATGGTTGTAAAAAATCATAAAGTAGGCCGGGCGGTGGTGGCGCACGCCTTTAATCCCAGCACTCGGGAGGCAGAGCCAGGTGGATCTCTGTGAGTTCAAGGCCAGCCTGGGCTACAGAGTGAGTTCCAGGAAAGGCGCAAAGCTACACAGAGAAACCCTGTCTCGAAAAACCAAAACAAACAAACAAACAAAAAAAAAATCATAAAGTAATTTTTTCTATTAGTATATATTAATTGTACAAAATAATGGGTTTTATTATGACATTTTCCACATGCGTATCATACTAAAATCTACATTGCTCGCTTGTTCCCCATTCCCACCTTCTGTGGATCTTTCTTTTCCCCACATATTCCCCTTTCTACTTTTATGCCTTAAACCATCAACATTTCAGGAGAGAGTACCCGCAATATTTGTCTTTCTGATTCTAGTTTATTCCACTTACTATGATAATCTTCAGAAAGTATATACAAAATAAGTATTTATATATATATATATATATATATATATATATATATATATATATATATATATAGAGAGAGAGAGAGAGAGAGAGAGAGAGAGAGGGAGTAAATGATTGTTAGGGCCCATGAGGTAGAAAGAATTGGAAATTGTTATTTAATCAGGTTTCAGTTTTACAAAATGCAAAAGGTTTTGGTGATAGATGATGGTGATGTTGTACAATGTTGTGAAGGCATTTTTGAAATGGTTAACATGGTAAATTTTATGTGCATTTTACCATAATAAAAAATTTAAAAAGATTATACACCAAAATAAATTCAATAAAATCAAGTAAAGTACATATGTGAAAGAAGAGAGATGTATACATACCCACAGTGGGTGGGGAGGTAATGAAAGTATTAAAGTGGTAAGCTAGTTTGGGTTTAAAAGATTCAAAAATAAAAGTGACTTAGTCAGGATGGAAATTATGTTCCCCGCATAAAAAGAAGTCTGGTGGTAGGGAGTTGAGGTGGAGGCTAGGTTTACTATATTACTTGGAATTGGGAGGTGTAACTTCTGTTGTCTGTTCTTAGAATGGCCTCTCCATCTCCAGAGTCTCCCATAGTTCAATGTGGCACCTAGAACTCCAGCGTTTTCATCGACGAGAAGAAGGGAAATCTTAGGAGGGTTCCCCAGAAGTTCCACCTAGCATAGTTTTTTTATATCACAATACACACACACACACACACACACACACACACACACACACACACCACATAGCCACATGGCTCAAACTAGATATAAATGTCTATAATCAGGGTTCACTAATGAGAAGAGAATATTGAAAGTCATAAACTCTGTCACAAAATTTGATAAATAATTAAAAAAATCTCAAGATGAGTCAAAGTTTTTATAAAGAGGAAAATAAAAAAATACTTCTTTTGTATGTATAATTAAAAAAATTTCACTTCAAAATCCACCTTGAACAATATCTAAAGACAAAATGCAAGCCACAAAATAATATTGCAGTAAATAGCAAAAAATAAGCAAATACTTGAAAGTATTACATTGGTACTCCAGCCAGGGAAACAGGTAGGCTAACTGCAGATCTTCCCAATTAGTCCTCTTCTCCAAATGTAATCCCTCAGTCTCATCCCTAGCTCTGCAGTAGACCACCTGCTGATTCCTGCCCCGCTGTGCCCTTCTCCAGTGGATCACAAAGATCTTCCCTCCCTTTCTTCCCCCTCCCACTCATTGCTTTATCCCAGCCCCCCAACTCTAGCAGACAAAGCCTGGAAACTTGCAGGCTGCTTGGAAAGCAAGTAGGCTAACTGCAAATCTTCACCTCTCCCTTTGCTCCTTCAAGTCCATCCCCTAACCTCATCTCCAGCTCCACAGCAGACCTCCTGTTGTGGCTTCTCCTCCCTCACTTCTAATCTCCAGGACTAAGCAGATCCTGGTGGAAAACCCTGCATTCCTCCCTCCTGTGGACTCTCTCAGTGACCCACATGTAGAGAATCACTGGAGTTGGGTTTACATTCAGATAGATCTTGTTAGGAAAGGGAAATGCAATAGATCGTTATGGATGGATGGAGCAGGCTGGAATGGGAAGATCAAGTGGGAAGGAGCATGAGGGGAGGGGGACAAGGGAGGGAATATGGGGAGAGACAGCTGAAATTAAGGACCATTTGAAGGGTCATGTGGAAACATAATACAGTAGAAACTTCCTAAAATACATAAACTACATGAAGGCAATCTAACTGAAATTGCCAAATAATGGGGGAGACAGCCCCAACATCCCTTGTCATCAAATGAAGCTTCCAGTAATAGGATTGGGTTACATCTCATTGAGGTGTTGGCAAAAAGGGTCCTGTGGAAATCCCCAAACAACCCAGGCTGTTGCCAAGACTGTAGGTTGCTCACCACAAACTGACAGCAAGGCCCCATTGCTGGAGAGAACAACACAACTCACTGACCATGAAGAAGTCAAGCTTGTGCCTGCATAGAGCTTTCACCACTATGTTCTAGCATCTTTGGCACAGAAAGGTATTCTGCATGCTATCAAAAGAGAAAGATAAACACCAAGCTAGGCAGAAACCTTTAGATCTTCAATGCTGTTCTGCCTGCAAGATATACTAGGGCAGTGGTGGCACAAAGCTTGTGGGAGTAACCAACCAATAACTGATTTGACTTAAGGCCCACTCCGTGAGATGGAACCCATACCTGACACTGCTCGGGTGACCAAGAACCTGAGACTAGATAATCCAAGGACCTAGGGTAAAACCAAATAGTACTTACTGTTTTACTAAAAGAATGCAGCAATAAAATGTCCCCTAATGACATTCTGTTATAGTCATAGTTCAGTACCTTGCTCAGCTATCAACCGAGAAGCTTCCTTCTGCAGGAGATGGGAACAATACAGAGACCTACAGCCAGACATTATGCAGACAGTGAGAGACCTTGGAACACAGCCTGGAATGGGATTCCCCATCAAATTCCTCTCCTCAAGGGTCAGGGAGCCCTGTGGAAGAAGAGTCAGAAAGACTATAAGAGCCAGAAGGGGTGAGGGGACACCAAGAAAACAAATCCCTCTAAATCAACATGATCAAAGCGCATATGAATTCACGAAGACTGAGGAAGCACGTACAGGGTCTGCACTGGTCTGCACCAGGCCCTCTGCATATACACTATGGCTTCCAGTTTAGTGTTTTAATGGGATTCCTGAGTGTGCAAAACAGTGGGTTTCTGATTGTTTTCTTTCTGTTTGGTTGTTTGGTCCAACTCTAGTGTGTTAGTTTTTGTTTCATCTTATTATATTTATTTCATTATTAAAAAGTTTACATTGGATGAATCATATTAAGCATGGCATATTGATAATATTTTTAAAGATTTATTTATTCTTATTTTATGCATGTGAGTGTTTTGTCAGCATGCATTTATGTGTACTGTGAGTGCACAGTGCCTACAGAGGCCAGAAGAGAGTGCTGGAACCCTTGGAATTGGAGTTACTAAGGTTGTAAACTGTCAGGAGAATGCCAAGAATGGAACTCAGGTTCTCTGCAAGAGCAGCAAGTACTCTTAACTGTTGAGCCATCCCTCCAGCCCTCAGCAATATTTATTTTTAGAGTTATTTATCTTATTTTATGTGTATGTGTTTTGTGTGCATGTATGTATGTGTAGTGTGTGTGTGTGTGTGTGTGTGTGTGTGTGTGTGTGTGTGTGTGTGTGTGTGTGTTTGGTGCTTACAGAAATCAGAAGATGTTGCTGGATCCCTTGAAACTGTAGTTATGAATTGCTATGAACCACAAAATGGGTCCTGGAAACCAAACCCAGATCCTCTGCAAGAGCAATAAATGCTCTTAAAAGACGAACTGTCTCTCCAGCTTCCTTAACAATATTTTTCAGAAACATAAGATAGTAGAAATACTTTAGCATCCTTTGGAAACTAGCAGGTTGAAAAATAATGCACGAATAGCTTAAAATGGACTTTTCAAACATTTATTTTAAAACACAAAATCATTCAGAAAATGTGAAACCCAATGAAATCTGTGTTAATAACATACACTAAAGCCACTGATGGTTCTGCCTAAGCTGGAGTTACAGGGGCGTTATCTGATTTAATGAATGGAAGCAGGGTTACATTCCAGTTTCAGATAAAGTGTTAGTATAATTATGTCTCTCGAACTGTGTTCCTTGGACTATGTGGAACACACCAGGATAAAGTATACTTGTTTTGTCTGATATTTAAGTCTACCTGGGTTTCTTTACTTAATCTGGCAGCCATTGGGCCCTACCACAAGTGAAATAATGCGGCCTCAGTGTTCCTGCTTCTATTTTTTCCCCAGGTTAGAACCACCTAATTCACAGCTTGGATTGGGAATCAATGTTGGAGAAAATGTTCATTTTAGATGAATTAATTAGGCAAACTGCCATCAGGAGAATTGACTTTTGGTGAATTGGTATCAAGGTGAGCTAAATCCTTTCAACCACCTTATCAAGCTATTAAAAAAGGTTGTTCCCCTGTCTCGGTAAGCTTTGTCTATCTAAGAACCTAATTCATTTTATAGGTATTATTTATAGTGTCCCAGTTTGAATTTGCCATCTGATTCTGGCTCCCTTCTTTTATAAGTCATGTGTCTTCTGAGAAGTAGGGCTTGTTTCTCACCTGTCACAACTAAGGCCCAAACTAAAGATAGTAAACACATTCTCCAATATGGAGGTTAATGTTGAAAGACATTGGTTTAAATCTGCCATGACTAAAAAATCCCCATAAGATACATAAGAATATCCCCATATACTCTTTGCATAATTTTATTTTGCATTTGCACAGATGGAGAAGCTGGGTACAAATAATCTGTTGACTTGTAAGTATTAGGGAGACAGCCAGATGGAAACTCAGGTGCCCAAACTCCCTACTTAATAAAATTAAGAAAAGGCATGTAGTAAAAGTCTCCAATTTTGGTTATTGCTACCCAGAAAAACAGATGAAATGTACATTCTCAGACTGTTTCTGAAACAAAGTGTCACCTGAGGGCATGTCTTTCTTCTTCTCTGCAGCCTAAGTGTTATCTGTCTCCTCATCAGCTCCAGACAACCACTGTGGCATAGAAGAATAGGCTGTTATTTGATGCCAAATTGAATCTGCAGAGACTCAGTGAACTAGACTAGAGAATTATTACAGTGACTCAGTATGTGTGTGTCTGTTTGTGATTTTTAACATTGATAGCTCGCTAGACTTACTTTTAATTTCCTCTTAAATATTAGGATGTTTCAAAGTGTCCACAGTTACTGATTAGACCATTGTGATTCTGATCTTGGTGATAGAATGTAGCCAACTTTCAAAGGAAAAAAATCACGAAGTTTGAACTGAACTTTCTGTCCACTCACCCTGGCCATAAGAATACATAAATATTTTTCAGCCCAGCACATTTTAATCGTCCTTGTTGGCCTTTGGTTCTCAAATAGTACTTACCCATGGGAGGAAAGGGCAGCCTGTTCCACTACCATTCCAATGTTCTGCTCTTCTAAGAATCAAGTGTTCTGAAGGGGATCTGTCTTCAAGATGAGTAGGAAGCCAGAGTGTTGATTCCTCCTGTTATGGGTGATAGCCAAGACACCAGTAAGAAATTTTGCACTAGATGACAATTGCTGTTCATCTCTGGCCTCCACATCTACATTGGACCATGTCAAAAGGAATCTTACATGGCCCGATGTGTAAAGAAAGATGCTAGTTTTAGCTAAATGGAATATTTCTGACAAGAAGTACTTGACACTTCTCACCTTCTTTATAACTTTAATGCCACTCTGTGTCATGGTGCCATCAAAATCAACTTTTAGTTTATGTTGGTTTCCAAAAAATTTAGAACTCCCTCATCATTTCTTGTCACCCAGAGTAATTCCTGTGTGGCTTAATAGGTTTCTTTTTTAAAATGCTGTTCCTAGTCTCAATTACTAAAACCTTCCCACTGTACATTAGCAAAGTTTCTATGCGCTCAATTTGCTTTCTGAAATTTTGCCTTTGTATTTGACTGAAACCTGAAGCCAGCCAGCACCTTCCTTTACTCTTCTCAAAATATAGTGATGCTGTCTTCTTAGCCTTTATGCCAGTGAGCCTAGAGACAAGAAATCTCTGTCTTGCTTATCTTTGACACTTCTAGACAACTCTACTTCTCTTGGTCCTGATGACAACCAGCTTAGAATCTCCTATCATCAACATTTATCACCCCCTGGAAACCTTCTCATCATTTATCTATGGACTCTACGGGACTTTCTCTTGTTTATGGAGACTTTTGGTGCAACAACTTATTACTCTTTCCAGTTCTGTTCCTTCCTGGATATCTGCATAGTTGTTTCTCCTAATAGTCTAATGTTTCCTTCTTTTGACTGTCTCTCCTCTAAGTACTGGATCTGTACCGATCTCACCCGCCTATTCTATCTACACTATGAGAATATTATTATTATTATTATTATTATTATTATTATTATCAGTAACTGTGACACTTTCTCAACATAAGTTTCAAGCATCAAATGTTATAGCTATTCCTCTGGGTTTTCCAACTCAATCCCTATAGGACCCTACTGTCAAAAAACAAAACAAAACAAAAAACCTCAACCATGAATACATCAATACATGAAATTTATTAGTTCCATTATCCTTTTTTTATAATCACTACTACCCTGTTCCCTTGTTTACTGCTAAAAATATCTGTGGTCAACCATTATAACCATCCCCCTTTGTATATCCTTAACATCCTGATCCTCTCTCAACCAAATGCATTTGCTTATAGAGTCTAAATTTTCATAAATATAAAAGTTTGCTTACACCAGACTCGTGTTCATATAGATTGATGTGGGAGAAAAAGCGTCATAACGTTGCTAGCTCTTCTCACTTTGTGTGAGTACAAATGGCCCTTCATGCTGTTTGGCTACTACACAGTATTCGTGTAGTCCATTTACTCTCCCTTTCTTACCCATTCTACCTTGACTACTTCATACCTTTTTTAAAACCTTCAGCATACCCCATCCTCTCCATTAGTAGAACATCTTATTTGTTTACTAACAAACAAAGTGAGTAGAGGAATGACCTCAGAAGTTCTTACCACATTGACATACAAACCTGTCTTTGCTTTATGTTCTGTGACTCTTTAACTGGCTATGTGCATATCTGAGACTGTCTCTGTACCTGTGCTCAAATACTTTGCCATAGCATGCTTTCAAGGACATTGTTTTCTGGCTATGACATATTTTTGATTCTCTCCTCTCCTTTCTGCTGAATCTTTTCCATCAACGTACAAGAATGTTGGTCTCATATCTTTTTTTCTTTCTTTCTTTTTTTTTTTTTTTGGTTTTTCGAGACAGGGTTTCTCTGTGTAGCTTTGCGCCTTTCCTGGAACTCACTTGGTAGCCCAGGCTGGCCTCGAACTCACAGAGATCCGCCTGGCTCTGCCTCCCGAGTGCTGGGATTAAAGGCGTGCGCCACCACCGCCCGGCTTGTTGTATTTGTTATGGGTCATTTTAATTTTCACTGTGTGTGTGTGTGTGTGTGTGTGTGTGTGTGTGAGAGAGAGAGAGAGAGAGAGAGAGAGACAGAGAGAGAGAAACAGAGAGACAGAGAGACAGAGAGAGAGAGAGAGAACATCATGAAGTTTGGTGGGTAGGGAGATGGGAGGATCTTAGAGGTGTTGAGGGGAGGGGAAAACATGATCAAAATACATTCTATGAAATTTTTTAATAAAAATAATTGTATTTAAACAACTAGTTCCTATAACTATTTGGGATTTCCATCAAATCTATTACATTTGATGGAATTATTATATGATATGTACGATATACATAATTAGTACTTATTAATTTAAGAGTAAAACAAAATGTCTCAAATCCACATCTTATGAACTCTGTCTTAACTACCCTAGTTTAAACACCATTATGTTTTGCCCACATCATCGCAGTGGCTGTCCATTGCTTCCCTTATTCCATCTATAGAACCACCAGACGTGTGTGTGCGTGTGTGTGTGTGTGTGTGTGTGTGTGTGTGTGTGTGTGTGTGTTACATGCTTCGGTGCATATGTGTGTATATCCCTGTGTGCACGTGCAGACAAGATCGATATCTAGTATATTCCTCTATTGCTGTTGCCTCACTTTTGAGACAGGCTCTCTCTCTCTCTCTCTCTCTCTCTCTCTCTCTCTCTCTCTCTCTCTCTCTTTCTCTCTCTCTCTCTCTTTTATTAAATATCAGGCTTTATTCTCACTTCCTTACATATTTTAATACATTTAGATCTCAGAGCAACTCTTCAATGTAGGTTTCATTATTCTTTTTTTAAATTTTATTTTACAATACAATTTGGTTCTATGCCTGGGTGCATATGTGTGTATATCCCTGTGTGCACGTGCAGACAAGATCGATATCTAGTATATTCCTCTATTGCTGTTGCCTCACTTTTGAGACAGGCTCTCTTTTTTTATTAGATATCAGGCTTTATTCTCACTTCCTTACATATTTTAATACATTTAGATCTCAGAGCAACTCTTCAATGTAGGTTTCATTATTCTTTTTTTTGTTTAGTTTTTTTTATTTTATTTTACAATACAATTCGGTTCTACTTATCAGCCACGGATTCCCTTGTTCTCCCCCCTCCCGCCCCCCCACCTTCCCCCCAGTCCACCCCCCATTCCCACCTCCTCCAGGGCAAAGCCTCCCCTGAGGACTGAGATCAACCTGGTAGACTCAGTCCAGGCAGGTCCAGTCCCCTCCTCTCAGGTCGAGAAAAGCGACCCTGCATAAGCCCCAGGTTTCAAACAATCAACTCATGCCATGAGCACAGGACCCGGTCCCACTGCCTGGATACCTCCCAAACAGATCAAGCCAATCAACTGTCTCACCCATTGGGGCCTGATCCAGTTGGGGGCCCCTCAGACGCTGGTTCATAGTTTATGTGTTTCCATTCGTTTGGCTATTTGTCCCTGTGCTTTATCCAACCTTGGAGGGTTTATATGAGTGAGACAGGCTCTCTTGCTGAACCTGGAGCTCACCAGTTATCTATGCTGGCTGACCAGCAAGCCCCTGGAACCCTCCTAACATTGTAACTTAGTTTGCTTTTTGTTGCTGTGATAACACCACGACCAACAACAACTTAAGGGGAGGAAGAGGCTAATTTCAGCTTACGGAGTATGCTCCATGATCAAGGGAAGACGGCAGGAGCTCAAGGCTGGAACCTGGTAGCAGGAACTGAAGCAGAGGCCACAGAAGAGCCCTCCTTGCTGGCTTGCTTTCCATGGCTTGCTCAGCCTGCTTTCTTTCTTTTTGTGTGTATGTGGTTATTTCAAGACAGGGTTTCTCTGTGTAGCTTTGGAGCCTGTCCTGGAACTCACTCTGTAGACCAGGCTGGCCTCGAACTCATAGAGATCTGTCTGCCTCTGCCTCCCGAGTGCTGGGATTAAAGGAGTGAGCCACCACTGCCCGGCTTAGCCTGCTTTGTTATACAACACACGATCACCTGCTCAGGGTTGGCACCATCCACAGTTGGGCTGGGCACTTTCACATTAATCATTAACCAAGAAAATGTCCTACATACATGCCTCCCAACCAGGCTAATGTAGGTTCCTCGACTGAGATTCTCTCTTCTCAGGTGACTCTAGTGTGTGACAAGCCAGTTTATACTCCTTCCCAGCACCGGGATTACAGCTTCATGCCACTGTGCTTGCTTTTTACATGGGTGCTGGAAAATCTAAATTCAGGTCCTTATACCCATGCAGCAAGCATTTTATCTACTGAGCCATTTCCCCAACTCCCAGACTCATATTTGTATAACATAGATAAAATCTCTGTTTTAAAATGTCTGATTGGTTTCTTATCATTTCCCTCTATTTTCTTGCAGTTGTCTCTACCTTACATAATATTATGCACATGTGTTTGTAGACTTCTAAACGCAATGAATTTTGTAATTTCTTCTGGGTACTCAGAGCCTAGAGGAGAGTTCAATAAGTATTTGATAAATCAATTAATCATGATTTCTAAGTTAGTGTCTGATTTGACTGTGATGAGCTATTTTCTATGAGGCATTTATTTATAAATCATCTTTCTAAAGTATAAATGAAAAGATGAGTATATTGATTCCTCCATGACTTCCTCTCCACCCAAGACACTGTTTCTGAGCAGGAAAGATAAAAAACTCAAATGAGAGAAGGCATCAAAGCACAGGAAAAGATCACAATTTGTTTGCTCTTTCCACAAGTATGTGCCAGACATTGTAGTAAGCACTGAAGGAAAAAAGCATTGGACAGGTAAGGTCTGTGGTCCCATAGAATTTACAGTATAGCAGAGCAGTCTGGCAGTGAGTACGTAAACAAATATTTAAATGATTTGAAATTGTGACTAGTGGTCTTTAGCAAATAAGCATCACGCTGCATTCACAAAGAGTGGAGTAGGCTTGCAGCAGGCAGAATAAGAATACTACTTCCTGTGAGATGTATTCATCTTACTTCCCAGATTTTGCAAATACATTACACATTACAAGGAGGAGTTAATACTGCTTCTCAGCCAACCTCGAGGATGGGAGATTGTCCTGTATCATCTGGGTGGGACCAGGCATTATCTCTAAGGTTCTTGAGAGTGGGGAGGGAGGTGGTAGAAAGAATGCCAGAGTAAGAGGCAGTCTGAGTATGGAACATTGCTGTTGTTGAATGAGGAAAAAGGGACTTCAAATCTAGAAACACAGCTGTCCCCGAGAACTGAAAAGGTGAAGAACCCGATTATCCCTTAAAATGTCCAGAGGGAAAGCATTCCTGCTAATACCTGATATTAGTTCAGTGAGACCCATTTTGGGCTTTTGACCTTAATAACTAAGAGTGATTGGTTTGTTTAAAGCAGCAAATGGGAAAATAATAAGGACTTTAAATTCCAAAGTCAGAAGTACTTCTCTAAAGATGCTTCATTAATCTGAATTGAAGGATTTGAAGGAATACGCCTTGCAAAAAGCTGCTGATAGCATATCCAGGGGGAAACCCAGCAAAGTCAAGGCTGAGCACAGATTTGGGGAGTTAGGAATTGATAGGCAGTCATAGTCATTGAAGTGTGGTGACTGAGGTGAAAGCAGTTAGCGGAAGATCGGGAATTCAGACAGGAGAAGTCTACATAGGGCCTTCTAGACACTAAGGAACTCAGATTTTACTGTCAGTGCACTGTGCAGACATTCAATGGTTTCAAATTTGAGTTTCATATCATCTGTCTTATGTCTTTTTAAAGGTGTACTTTAAACATGGACCAATCTTTGTACACAGTGTAGTAAATTTTTACCAAGTAAATCTACTCTGATTGCTACCACCCAGGTGAACTAGAATCTTACCAAATTTCTGAAGTCCCCCATGCTCTTCCAGTGTTTACCTCCATTAAAGTAACTACTGTCCTCACTTTTATCATCCTAACAGCTTTTAAAAAATTAGTGAGCTTTATATTCATAGAATCGTGTTTCTGATTTTCTTGTCAAATATAATATTTGTGAGAGTTATTCATAAAATACATGCAGTAGCAGTTTAAAAATCACTATTGCTGTGTGTATTTCTTATATGGCAATATATTTATCCATTCTGTTAAGTACATTGGTTGTTTCCAGATCTATGTGATGAACATTCTTGTATGTATCTTTTTGTACACATGTAGACATTTCTGTTAGGTATACACTTCTAATCTTAATGTTGCCAATTTTTCAGAGTGATTGTAACAATTTATATTCCACCAGTGATGTGTGGTAGTTGCCCCCTCCCTCTCTCCTCTCTCTCTCTCTCTCTCTCTCTCTCTCTCTCTCTCTCTCTCTCTCTCTCTCTCTCTCTCTCTCAGAGACAAGGTTTCTTGTGTAGTCCTGGCTTTCCAGGAACTCACTCTGTAGACCAGGCTGACCTTGAGCTCACTGATCTGCCTGCCTCTGCCTCAGGAGTACTGGGATTAAAGGTGTGCACCACCACTACCCGGATCATTTTTAATACTTGAAAAATGCCAGCTTTTTGCTTGTTTCTCTAGTTTCTTAAGAGAGTAAAAGGTATTTCATTACAACCTTTAATATTTCTTAGATGATTAATGAAGCTGAAAATCTTTGGTCATTGGCTATTTGGATAGTCTCATTCATTAAGTGCTTGTACAATGACCTAGTACTTGGATTTAAAAAATGTAGTTCTGGCAGGGCTATGGTGGTGCACATCTTTAATACCAGCACTTAGGAGGTAGAGGCAGGTGGATCTCTGTGAGTTTGAGTCCAGCCTAGTCTACAGAGTAAGTTCTAGGATAGCCAGGACTACACAGAAAAATGTTATCTCACCCCCCAATTCCCAAAGTTCTGAATTCTATTATATTAGATCATATTAGGCGATTTCAAATATTCATTTGTTTTGTTGTGACATAAATCAAGTTTGGTATATTCAAAGAAAATTATGAATGCTCCTGTGCAGAGGGAATATTACAGAAACACAGGTGTGGTATAAAACCCTATAAATGTGCAACTTATCTTTAAATTAACCATGGAACTTTGAGTCAAATCATGTTTTCTTAAAGGGGCTGATCTGTACCATTAAGATACCTGCCCTAATACCAATTTAAGGAAAGTATGGGGCTAGGGATTTAGCTCAGTGACAAGATCTCTTACCTTAGATATACAATGCACTGGGTTCTTTATCCAGAAAAAAAGGGCATCGTATTATTTTATGAATTGAATTTATTAATTAAATATTCCTTAAACACAAGCTTTACAGAAATTTAATGACCAAGGGAGGGAAAAATTCAATACATAAAATTTCGTTTAGTGGCTTCCAGAAAAAAATTAATTTTACTAGTTTGAAACCAGTTAGATTAATGTCGAAGCATAAGTACATGCAGGAGAAAGGGTATGCCCAATTAATGGGACTTCTGGCTGTCTGCCCAGAGAGATTCTGTAAAATCCTATTCTACAAGGTAAAATGCCTCCCCTGGAGGAAGTGGCATGCCCACCAAGAACGAGGGCCCCTGCCCAGCAATACATTAACTTTATCCTGCATGCTTTATTGCTCTGCCCTGCATTCTGGCAGCCTCCCTTTCATTGTCTTGCTCTTTAAGGGGTCTTGCGTTTGCTTCTTCTCTTTTCAAGACTTGCTCTAACATCTTCCCTTTCCCCCACTTTTTGTTCTTAGAGTAACAAAGCCAAACCACACAGCCCTTTTTGGTTATTGTTCCAACACAGTTATTGACTCTAATAAGTAAAATTCTCCTTCCACTTTTTGAACCTTCATAGTTTATGTTGGTCGTTTCACTGGGCCACCGCGGGCCCCTTCAATTCTTTGAAGCTAGTGACCCCAAATATCTAAGGCTTCTGGGGATGAGCTTGCTTTTCTTCCCTTCCCCCCTTCCTGCAGCAACTGAGACAATCCCCTCTGCAGCCTGAGGCAAAGATTTAATGCTGTCAAGAGCACAGAGCAGCCAGCGATCCAATGCCGAGAAGGGCGGGCACTCAGCCAAGTCCTGTGCGCTGCAATTCTGCCACTACACCTTCCTAAGCTTGCTCTATTTTGAAGAGGTTGGTGCTAAATTAATTTCCCGGGAAGGGAGGGGGAGGGAGGAAGGAGTGTGTTCGAGCACCGAAAACTGCGGCCGAGTCGCCCTCTGCTGGTTAAAGATGTGAATGATCGCAGCCGAAAACAAGGCTACAGAGGCAATCCGTTTAATACAGATAAATAGCAACTAAAACTCGGCTTACTGTTTGTCGATCTAAATAGTCACTGTGACTTTTAGCTCTACCTGGAATTTAATTATACTCTTATTCTAAATTCTAGCCCCAAGTAATATGCTATCTTGAGCCCCTGTTCATTTACTCTTAGGTTTCCATTATTCTAAATCGCTATTCAAAATCTCCCCAACGAGCTTTTTGTCTAATTGGTTGCTAGGCAACCGGAAAAATGACACCTAAGCCAGCCGTTAGTTACAGAACACACCCCAGGCCGGTGTCTCTGCCTAAGACAGTAATTTCAAGCGAACAAAGAGACAGCTGTTGTTGGTGTTTTCAAGATTAATTGATTGGCAAACGAGAAAAAGCGGTCGGTTCCCATTATGGTTTCTAGAAAGCTGACAGACTACCTTCTACAAAACGAAGCCCTGGCTGCCATAATTCACAGAGCCTTGCACCGCCTTTGCAGTCTTACGTATCTTGTTGGAATAAACCAACACACGGAGGCTAGGTAATGAAACGTCTGCCCGCAGCAAGACAGTATTTATAAGACACTTATATTCTGGCGGGCAATGAGAGGGGAGAGAAAAAAAACTCAAACGACTAGATATTGTAACGTATGGTATCGGTTAATGTCAGCTGATCCCTTTGCCAGTCTGAATGTCCCAGACCAAGGGGTTCCTATCCACCCCCTCTACCTCTGGCATTGTAAATTGGTCGATCACGCGGCGTTGAGATTGGCCGGTTCCTTTGTCAGGTGAAAATCTCCGCAGCGAGTCATGGGACTCAACTGGGCGGTGTCGCTGTCCGCATCTGGGGTGCTGAACTCTAGGCGTGGCCATGGAGATTTCCATTATATGACAGCTTCCGGTAGGGCGGTGTCGGGGGCGTGCTCTAAACAGTGGTTCCATCTGCCACCTGGTGTTTGAAAAGGAAAGTGCTGGAAGAAAGGAAAAGGCGAGTTGTGAAGTTCAAAAATGATTTTAAAAATCACTTTAAAACTCTGAAAACACAAATTGGAGGGGTTTTAGTCCTCAACAGTTGGCCTTTTGGAGATCTCATACCTTCTAGAGACATCTAGGGGATAGAAGAATGTAGACTTTCTAGAATGATCTCTCACTACCATCCAAGAAAATAACCTGTAAGTATGTTTAAATAAATGTTGCCACTCATTTTCCCAACACATCTTGTTGTCAAATATGTATTTTAAAGTATCTTTGCAGTAATTTAAAATATTTACTGAAGTATTAAAATAAAATAAACGCTAAGAAAACTATCCTGATGGCCAAATACATTCAAGGAAACAGCTGGGTGTTCTTCTCTGAAGAGTTTTAGGGAAATTAAAATAGTGATTATGTTTGAAATGTGGTAAAAAGTAATAGAAATTCTATGGGTAAAATTTTGTTTCTTTTTATCTCCTTTTTGCTCTAGCATTTAAGCTATGAGAATGTTGGGAACAGGAAATTTGTGATATGCTTATTTCTTTTAATCTGCATATTGTAGACTATCCTTCGCAAAGTCAGTGTGTATGTGCGCTTATACCTTCAGGTGAGGGAGGAAGCCTCAAGTTGATTTGTGCACAGAGACTGACTAATACATAACAAAATTTGGGAGAAATATTATTACATGCCTCCTTCCATTTTTTTTTTAAATAAAATACATGTAAAGGTGGCTACATCTTTTAGAGAGTGTGAAGTCAGAATTCCAACTGACCATCAAATTTCTGTGTCTCTCGTGGTAACCTCTTCTTCTCAATTAGTTTGGTACAACTCTTTCCATCTTTCAAAACAGTGACTATCATGTGTGTGTTCAGATGTATGGGTTACAGTGTAAAAATCAGTCCTAGCAAATGGAGATCAAAATGAATACCATTCTCAAACAAATTTATCATTCTCAAAATAAAAAATAGACCCATCCAAGAGGCACACTCATCTTTACTTGTCAGTCAACAGAGTGATTATTTGGTATTATTACAGCGGCTTCTACTTTTAAGCCTTAATACAGAGCATAGCTGTTACCATTTCTGCTTTAAGGTCAAACACATTTTATTTTAAAAAATATTAACTTTAATCAAAATTTACAACCAAACTTAGGATTAATTGCACTGTTCTCAATTAAAAAATTGAGAAGTTTTATCAGAGTACAATAAGGAAAAGAACGGTCTTTTTAGTTTTTCTTTGATCAAATTGGGAAGTTTCCAAACACTCTCAGCTTTCCTGGAAAGCCATCATACCACCAATAGGAAGGTAGCACATGAATAAAGGCATCAAAGCCATCAGCTTCAAATCAGAGGGTAATGGAAATCTGTTATATTAATAATAGTATTGGGTTGTATTACAGCTTCTTACATTACTGTGGGGGAAGGAAACATTATATTCACAAGCACATGCTGAACAATAAGAGGCATTGTCATATAAAGCAACAGATGGGAGCCCAAGACCAGCTGCAATAAGTCTGGCTGCCAAAAGTATGTCCGCAAAGCATCCAGATCTTGCCACAATGGGAAAAAAATCCCCACAAAACATTAAATACGTGAAAGAACACAATAGAAGAATAGAATTCTAATATAGTAGTGAAGTTTAAAACTGCAGGTGTGACCTAAAGTACATCTGTTCCTAAAATAGGATTTTTTCAGCTTTAAACAGTACATATATAAGCAAAAATCAGAGGGTTTCCCAGATATTAATGCTTATTTAAATTACCATAATAACAAATATTATTAATATTAAGATGTACACAAACAGAAACAATACGTGGGAGAAGAGTTTCCAGTATTATACTTAGTTTATTTTTTAAAAGTGTTAAAAATAATGACAAAATTCTTAACTAAACAATTGTAGGAACATTTAAATTTATTATTTTGAAGTAAATAGATGAAAAATAAGTAATACATTTTCCTCAAATGTTAGAATAAATTTAAATCTGAACTAATTTTATAAACCAGAAATACTGTTTTGTAGAACACATTAGGAGTGAAATAGCTTATATCCAGTGTTGGGGATCAGAAAACAAGATCCTAAAGTATAGTGTTTTGGCATCCTGAATATTTCAAACTGAAGGAGAATGGAAGACCTTAGTTACACAATTTCTCTGACTTCCCTCCACCTTCCAGTCTCTACTCTTCTTTCTTCCCCCAATCAAACTACAGAAATGAGAATCCTGCTTTCTGAAGTGGGTCATGGAGACTAGAAATCCTCTTCCTTAGAGAAGAAATAAAACCTGGAAGTATTATTGCAGGCTTTCTGTATAAGAGGAAGCCAAAATAAAATCATCTGTCCTACATTATTTGACAGTAAATAGGGCATAAAGCCTTCATTGGATAAGTGTTAACCTTACACTTGGAAGGAATAAATACTACACAGGTCAAGGAAAATGTGGACAAGGCTTATTGAGTTTACCTCTCTGTGTTACTATCAGACAATACCTTTTTTTCAGTCACATTTCCAGAAGCCAAGCCATCACAAGCCAAGTATAGAAAAGACTTCCCTGGGTCTTGGGATTTAATTTATGATGGTTTCCATCTCATATAAATCTTGGGTAAAGGAATTTGTTAGATTTTCACTTGTTTTCTTGTCTTTTGTTATAGGAGTGTCAGCTATGACCTTACAATGGATGAAGAAAGATGTTGCACCTTTCTGACCCTAAATCAACGCACAATTACTAGGTTTTCCTGTTCTATTTATGGGGTTTTTCAACTATAGCACTGTCTTAGTTTGGGTTATGATTGCTGTGATGAAACACCCAAAGCAACCAAATGACCAAAGCAACTTGTGGAGGAAAGGGTTTATTTGACTTACACGACTTCATCATAGTGTGTCACTGAAGAAAGTCAGGACAGGATCTCAAGGAGGGCTGCAACTAGGAGGCAGGAGCTGATATAGAGGCTATGGAGGACTGCTGTTTACTGTCTTGCTCCACATGGCTTTTTCAGTCTGTTTCTTATAACACCCAGAACCAACAGTCCAGTGATGGCATCACCCACAATGGGCTGGGCACTCCCCCATCATTTACCAATTAAGAAAATGCCTTACAGGCTTGCTGACAACCTTATCTTATAGATGTATTTTCTCAACTGAAGCTCCCTCCTCTCCAGTGGCTCTAGCTTGTGTCAAGTTGGCATAAAACTAGCCAGTATAGATCCAAGTAATCATACCATAATGCCCAAATTCCTTTACATAAGTTCTAAGACTTATATAATAAAGAATTATATTGATATTAAAAAAACAAGGATTCTGGCTATGGGAAAAGAGCAATATAAACACAAAATGAGAGGAGATAATGAAGAGATCTACATTAGTGGCTCAAAAGTATAAGTATCATGATTTTGTCTCTGTGCTTTATATACATGTATATACAATTAAACATATGTAGAAATTCAAGGCAAGCATCATCTATGCATGTTGGCAACCACAGGTTGATTAAAGTATTCTGTGCATATCTCATAGCTTCAAAAATTCTTTCCAAAGATCACTAACATATTATGAGAAGAAGGAAAAGATTTTGTTTCACTTAAGAAAATTGATGGACACCACTTAGCTCAAACATCTAACTTACTTTCATCAGTAATGGGATAAAGTGATACCATTGTCTCCCTGCTGTGGAATAATCCTCTTGTACATTGTAAAGATTTGTCACTTGAATTGGTTTAATAAAATGCTCATTGGCCAGTAGCCAGGCAGGAAGTATTGTGGTGGTATTTTACTTGTACTGAAATGTGATTTTAATTGTATGTTAATAAATAAAGTTGCCTGGGGGTCAGAGCTATTAGAGCCATAGCAAGTGCGTGGCGGCGGTGGCGCACGCCTTTAAGGACCTGGAGGGCGGTACATACAAGCAGTGATGAGGCAGTCACATGTTTGGGTTTACAACCAATGAGAAGGCAGAACAACTAGAGTATATAAAGTCATACACACAGGAAGTAGGCCCCCTTTTTCGGAGAGCTTTCTTGGCTGAAGAGGATCCCTGAATCAGGAAGGGTGAGGCTCTTAGCTCTGACCTCTTGGCTTTCTTCTCTGAATTGGCTCTGTGTTTCTTATTTAATAAGACCGTTGGTTACATCTACAAAGTATAGGCAGGGTGACCAAACTAAAAATGCTGGGAAGAGGAAGAGCAGAGTCAGGAGTCATCAGCCAGATGCAGAGGAAGCAAGATGAGAATGCTATAGTGAGAAAAGGTACCAAGCCACATGGCTAAATGTAGATAAGAATTCTGGGTTAATTTAAGTGTAAGAGCTAGTTAGTAATAAGCCTGAGCTACCAGCTGAACATTTACAAGTAATATTAAGGTTCCAAGTCAATAATTTGGGAAGCAATTGCTGGGTATTTGGGAGTTGCTGGTGGGACAGAAACTTCTGCCTTCATCTCCGAATGTGAGGCACTGAGAATGACACAGCACAGCTGATTTCCATTTTTCCCCCTCAAAAACATTTAATCTGAGTCCAGTTGAGAAGAAATAAAAAATTTCCAAATTAAGGCCCGTGTTATAAAATGCAGGAATTTATGGAGTTAGCCTGGTTTAGTTGCCTTGAGAGGTCATAGGTTATTCAGGTTAGAATCTGTGGCTCCTGTGTACCTTTTAGTTCCAATGAAACTGGGGCTCTCCCTCAGGCAATGGAGCATTCAGGATGCCTGTGCATCTCTGCATTCCTTAGAAGTCAACTAAGCATATAGAAATTTGGGAGAACAATTAATCTTAGACATTAATTCTGTATACCTTGTATAGCTTGCTAACATCATTATATCCTGGAAACCACCATTACACTCTGTTTTTGATAAGGGTATAAAAAGTCTTATTGCTATAAAGAACTCAAGAAACTAGACATCAAAATACTG